TATGTTGAAACTGTCCAACAGGTCATGTTGTTTGGTTATATTGAAGTCACCAACTCACTCACTCACTCACTCACTCCATATGTTGAAACTGTCCAATAGGTCATGTTGTTTGGTTATATTGAAGTCACCAACTCACTCACTCACTCACTCACTCCATATGTTGAAACTGTCCAATCGGTCATGGTGTTTTGGTTATGTTCAAGTCACTCACTCACTCACTCACTCCATATGTTGAAACTGTCCAAAGCGTATTTGTGAATGGGGAAATATCCAAACCAAGATACATGAAGGCTGGCGTGCCACAGGGTCTGTGCTTGGTCCTTTACTCTTTATTGTTTATGTAAATGACATTGCTGATAAATAAGACTGTATGACAAGACTGTTTGCCGACGATACATCGATTGGCATGTCATCCAATGATAACAGTGTACTGGAACGTTCCTTAAGCACAAATTTAGTAATCTTAAGTGAATGGGCGAAACTTTGGCTCATAACGTACAATCCCGAAAAGACCAAATCGGTTCTATTCTCTCGCAAAGACAACAATGGAGGTCTAAAACTATATCTCAACGGAAAAGAAATCAGATCTGTAAACAGTCATAAGCACTTGGGTGTTATACTTGAAGCCAGTGGCAAATGGTCTTGTCATATAGATACCATAATTAAAACAACTTCCAAGATGATTTACTCAATGAGAAAACTCAAACATCTACTTCACAGAAATACTATTAACAATATATATAAAATGTTCATAAGACCACACTTTGAATACGCATGTGAGATTTGGGATGGTTGCACCGAAGGACAAAGTGAGAAATTAGAACAATTACAATTAGAAGCTGCACGCATTGTAACTGGTCTACCTAAATATGCCCCCAGGCATTCATTATATTACGAAACCGGTTGGGAACCCTTAGTTGAGCGTAGAAAGAAACGTAAACTTTGTCTTTTCTTCAAAATTAATCATAACATGGCCCCTTCCTATCTAACAGATATTCTACCCAAAACCGTTGCTGCAAAAAACTCATACAGTCTCAGAAACTCAGAAAACATCAGTGTTCCTCTCACAAGACTAAGACATTCGTGTGAATCCTTTTACCCATCGTCTATCCGACTGTGGAACTCTATTCCGTTATCAGATCGATATTCTACGATTTCTTGTTTTAAAAATTCGTTACAAAAGCACCACCCTACGTCACCTGCGTACTTCGCTTATGGAAAAAGAAAATATAATATCTTACACACAAAACTGAGATACATGTGCAGTCAGTTGAATTATGATTTATATAGAATTGGTATAAAAGATCACCCGAACTGTACATGTTCGAATACATGTGAAAATGCATATCATTATCTCATGGAATGTCCATTGTTTAGTCATCAGCGTGAAATTATGTTAAACAGCCTTAAAAATATTGTTCATAACATACCTGTTGATGTACACTTACTGCAATGCAGATCACGTTGCTACAGAAAATGAAGCTATATTTAAGGCAGTACAACATTATATATGTACAACTAAAAGATTTGTGTAAAGAAATGTTCATTCAACAATGTATCTCTCTCTCTCTCTCTCTCTCTTACTCTCTCTCTCTCTCTCTCTCTCTCTCTCATCTATAGTCTTTTATGTTTTATGCATATATATTGAATCTGAAATTGTGAATTTTTTGTAAATACCAGGGAGAGGGCATTCTAAGTTGGAAGAACTTGTCCCCCAACCCCGTTCACTCCTTGTGAATAAAAATATGTTTCAATCAAAATCAACTGTCCAATAGGTCATGGTGTTTTGGTTATGTTCAAGCCACCCACTCACTCACTCCATATGTTGAAACTGTCCAATAGGTCATCATGTTTAGCAGAAAGCCTCGTAAGTGTGTCACTTGAGCCTAATCCATTTCATTTTTCGCAATAAAATATGTCAGTTTGTGTCACCATACAACAAGGGCGTGAGTTACTCATGCTATCCGTCACTGATCTGGGTGGAAACTATTAACATCATTAACGCCAATTAATCTTCACCATCATCATCGTCATAACGAAATGGTAGTTTCCATCGTCTTTGCTTATTAGGGAGAATACGGTAGTAGCACAGTGCTGAACCGTAAACATACAACATGAAACATGTCTTTTTCCTTCATATATTTATTATTTTCAAAATATTTGTTCATCTTCAATTCAAAGTAGACATTTGAAAATAAAAACAAAATCTTGAACAGCCTTCGTCCAGATTGAGGAATACAGAGATGCAGTTGCCATGGTAATTTACACTTTCCAGATACAGGCTACATCGGACAGTAGTTGTCATGAATTGGATACCCTGGTAAGGGATCCAGGAGATGTATTGTAAAGGAATGGGGATATCATACACTGAACAATCCAATCTCATTAAAATCAGATCTCAGTTCTCGCTACCGCTAAACAAAGATCTGAGGACATCCCATTACGGGTCACGTCAGAACAACCTTGGGCGAACAATCAGATCCATAAAGTCTCTAAAAGAGTAACTATTCAAAACAAATTGATAAAAAGTATACCATTTTTTTCAAGGTGCAAAGAAATAGTTATAAGGTCATGTGACCACTTACCACTGGATTATATATGCTGAGTGAGTTTAACACTGGATTAATATGTCATACCTCAGTTGACATTATTGTTTGTTGTTTAACACCGCACTCAGCAATATTCCAGCTGTATGACGGCAGTCTGTAAATAATAGAGTCTGGACCAGACAATCCAGTGATTGACATCATGAACATCAATCTAGGCAATTGGGATACGATGACATGCATCAAACAAGTCAGCGAGCCTGACCACCGTTAGTCGCCTCTTACGACAAGCATAGTCGCATTTTACTCTGGCTAAACAAGGATGCTTTAAATCCATAACAACTCTTAATAAAGGTGACAATTTAAAAAAAAATATAAATAAACCATTGTTTTCAAACTGCAAACTCTCACAGGTCAGTAGACAGCAACATTGTGTAGGTAAGTTTAACACTGGCTCAAACAGTAATGTCGTACATTATGGTGTCAGATTAAAGTGGGAACAAATCCCGAGGTGATGCAGGTCTTACACTTTGGTGCTGACAAACCAAGAACGATTACCCGGATGAGTCTGGGATGCGAACCCACAACATCAACTCCAATACCGACGCCTCTCTACAGATGATAGTCTGGATGTGGGTGATGTCTACTACTTCCTTGTCCAGGTTCACCTCAGACATCAAGACTACACACACATAGTCAAACAACAAAGGACGGATCATTGCAACAAAATGTCAATCTAACACAAGATATATATACCATATTTGACGTAATAAGCGCCCAGGGCGCTCTCAAAATGAGAAATAGGGGGCTCTTATTAGAATATAATTTTGGTGAGAAAAAAACAAGAGTTGAAAGATTGTAAATTTCGTAGTTTATGCTGACAGCCTGAAATGATACAAAAGAAAGGTTTGTGCGTATTATACACGACAGATATATTTTTCCAGACTTTAATTGCCCATAATTAAGGCTGCATATAACACACGAGTGCGTATTATATACAAATAAATAAGTCTTGTGTACATTGATCAATCGGAAGGGTGCTAATTAGGATTTTTCACTATATATATTAGCATGGGCGCTTATTAGAGCGGGGTGCTTATTACGTCGAAACATTGGTTGGGCAAACCTAATCAGCCGGCACTGTATTTTGGCAATCAGATCTTAAATAGACAAGAAACTGAGTGAGTGAGTTGGGTTAAACGCCGCAGTTAACAGTATTCTAGTTATATCACGGCGTGTCAACTGAATGTGGGAGGGACCGAAGGGATTGTGGTCTCAGACATTTACCACTTCGGTGAAACCCACAAGCACAGGTATGGTGCTGACAAACCTAGAAACATAATAGGGGCGAACCGGGATTCGAACCCACAATCATGTTTCTGGCGTGCCCAAGGGATGCAACTCTGCACAGCGAATTGCAGCGCCTTAGACGACTGGGCCACCTGGCCCCTCTGAGATATCATGACTACACACACATAGTCAAATAACAATGGACGGATCATTGCAACAAAATGTAAATATAAACATCAGATATAAATATACATATCAAACATTGGTTGGCAATACCTAATCAGTCGGGACTGTATTTTGGCAATCAGATCTTAACTAGACAAGAAACGGAGAAAAGATGAAAGAACATGAAGATAAATGAATGAGAGCATGAAGTATGTTACACTATCTGGTGGTGTCTTCCACCAGGACAAGGGGGACATGAGATGAGGTGGGATATATTCCACACTTTGTACATCTTCCCGCGGTGAGGAGTTAACTGACTGTAAAAGTCCAATTTACCCTTGCCGAACTAGGCCGGAATTTGTGGGCTCGATCGTAGCGCCACCAGTGGCTTTTACGAGTAATGTCCCTTCTATGTCCCTCATATTGAACAATCAGATGCCACCTTTCATATCACTTGCATTTTCTTGAAATAAAATGGCGGTGCTCAGTCAAGATGATCTGATCAATAATCAAAATCTATATTGTGATAAAACGGGTTTTACCTCGCGAAATGCATCAAATCATGTGAGCAGACTGATTAAAGATTTGGAAAAAATTTGTTGATGGCGAGTTGGCAGTACAATGCTTTGCAAATCCTGCCAAAATCTGCATGGTAGTTTACGAACCGGATGTCAATTTTGTTATGCCATTTGGACTAACGATATAACTCCATAATTCCAGCCTAGTTCGGCAAGGGTGGAAACTGGACTTTTATAGTCAGTTAACTTCCTTGCCTCAAAAGATGCTGTTTGCAATATTCTGCCATATCACAGTACAGGGTATTGGAGATACCTTAAATCATTGTACCTCTTAAGAGTGAGTGAGTTGGGTTTAACACCGCTTTTAACAGTATTCCAGTCACATCACGGCGTGTCAGTTTAATGTGGGAGGAAAGCCCGAAGTGATGCAGGTCTCAAACGTTTACCACTTTGGTGAAACCCACAAGCACGGGTATGGTACTGACAAACCTATAACATAATTGGGGCGAACCCGGATTTGAACCCACAATCATAGGTTTCTGGTGTGCCCAAGGGACGCAACTCTGCACAGAGAATCATGGCACCTTAGACGACTGGTCCCCCTGTGCCCCCAGAAGAGAGCAAGAGATGTCAAGTGAATGCTGTTCTATACAACAGCGAGGAATGTCACAGAAACAAGATGGCTGCTAGATAAACCGGTGGTTGACATAATGAGCATTGTGACAAGCAGTCAGGTTACAATGACACGCAGTTCTCCCCTGCCATATATTTTAGTATAACCCAGGTGATGTATTATTTGTCAAATCATTATCATTACTTCTTGATTGCAGTAAATGTTTCAAAACCGATATTGTTGTTTATTTTTATTTTGTAATAAATTCTATCCATGTTAGCTATAATAACTGTAAGGCTCAGGATATTATCATTTGCAGAAGCCCTCGGTCTTTTCAACTGCCCTCCTTCCTCGGGCTTCTGCAAATGAAAATACCCTGAATATAGCGTTACCCTGATAATATCCAGACTTAATCCTGTCTATCTCCCCCTCCAACATGTAGGTTACATATGCCAGACATCTGTCTCCCCGATCATGTTCTATGGACATTTTCTTTGGACCAGCAGTAGCGACTGTGTCATGGCAGCAGTGCACAGAAATGCAACACAATTGTCTTTGATTTTCTGAGTTGATTGGATCCTCACCATCTTGCTAAATGAGTGGAGCCGTGTCACCTGAAAATACAGAACAAAAATAAAGCTCCCAGCAGCGGTGTTGGGCTCCAAGTAAACCTTCTATTTCTTCAACAGATGACAAACATGAGTGAGTGGGTGAGTATGGTTTTACTCCGCTTTTAGCAATATTCCAGCAATTTCACGACAGGGGACACCAGAAATGGGCTTCACACATTTTACCCATGTCGGGAATCGAACACGGGTCTTCAGTGTGACAAGCGAACGCTTTAACCACTAGGATGGAGGCAGTCGGGACTATCTGGCTTGAGTGGGGCATTTGTAATTCTCAAAAGAAACTTGTAATCCCACTGACCACCACATAAAGCATAGTTGCCTAATCTAGATATAACCTGATATTGCGGGTATTCTTCTTGAAGTTTTTAGCAACTTTTCACATCTTGAGTCTGTTGGACTCTCTGCTGTCAGGATTCCCAAGCAACAGCATTTGCTGGGAAAATGGTGGCACATGAACCAAAACTGGTTTGAACAAGAGTCATCAGAAGATGTCAAACCTCCCGACCCCCACAACTTTGAACAGGGCAGCGAGTCCTGCAAGAGCGATCTGTCCAGAGTATTTCTATCTAATAAGTCTGTCTATATACAAGAGTAGTCATTGAGCTATCAAAACATCACCATGGATTTGGGATTTGGAACATTGTATGTCATTGTCAGGTATTTTTTTGCAAAGATATGAGTGAGTGGATGTCACACATCTGGTACATGGCTTATGCTGTGATCTACCAACTGTGGTTATCAATAGTTACTGAAGCTCATTCTTTTACAGCTTAATACAAATATAGACATAAACATTTCCCATCTGTTAGCTATCGACAATTTACCATTTGGTCATCGTGTGTCATTGTGTGTCATTGTGTGTCATTTTGTGTGTTTATTGAAGAAAAACAGTAGTTTTGGAGATATGCTCTGGAAAAACACATCCCTGCAAATTGAGTCAAAATCTAACTTGTTGCCATGAAAACATTAAAAATAAAAATTCTAGAAGTCCCAAAATAGCAAAAGGCAGCAGCTGACAATCTGATCTCTGTGTGTGCAAAGTTTCATGAATGAATACCAAGTAGTTCCGGTGAGATATGGTCAAGACACCACTATGAACAGAGTCAAAGACAAACTTGTTGCCATGAAAACATTAAAAATAAAAATTCTAGAAGTCCCAAAATAGCAAAAGGCACCAGCTGACAACCTGATCTCTGTGTGTGCAAAGTTTCATGAATACCATGTAGTTCCGGAGATATGGTCCGGACACCACTATGAACAGTCAAAGACAAAAATCCCTCAATAGCAAAAGGCAGCAGTTGGATAGACAGACAGATGGACGGACAGACAACCTGATTACTATATCCTCCTGTACTACATAGAGGGGGATAACAACATGTTTCTGAGGAAAAATACAATAAGTGAATGCTGATGCCACCTGTAGCGTCATCCCATGTTAAACTGCCTACCTGACAATGGCTGGCGCGGTGGGCAAGTCGATTCCGTCATTCACACCTCTCTCATACTCATCAACGTCAGCCAGGTCTTCATCCAGGGAGGAGGAGAGTTGTTGCAGCAGCACATCCAGCGCCTGGCAACATGTGTATGCATGTGTGAGTGAGTGAGTGAGTGAGGGCCTGGCAACATGTATACTTTTAAGTTAGTGAGTGACAAAGTCAGTAGTCCAGCAACAGAAACAAGGTCGTCATGGTGACGAACGAATGTTGGTTCTGATGACCTAGTAAAAACTAAAATTGACAAAATATATCATGCGAAAAAAAACCACAGCAGCCCAAACTGAGGTGAGACAGTATCCTGACACTGAGTCGATATGTCCTTGTCTTATCCCTTTAATCCCAAGTGTCATCAGGGTAGCAACACACACCCCTTCTTAACACCTTGGTGGGATGATGCAGCAGGGGATGGAACCACCAACCTTCCATAGAGGTAACCTCCAAGTACTCGAACAAGGTGAAACATTTTATATTTTTTAAACATTCAAAACAAAACTAAACACAAACCGTCAAACATTCTTAATAACAGGAGTGTCACTGGGACATAATAAAATGTAAAAACTCAAAATCCCCAGGGAACAAGATCACTGTCAAGTTATTAGAAAGTGATTTATAGTGAGTTCAGTGTAAACATGGACACTGAGGTTTATTTTGAGTATTATTTAAGGTGGGGATGGGGCCTGTACTCGTCCCCCTATTGATGAATGTTATGTGCGAAAATACGACAAACCAATCAAAATGCGCGTATGATTTCAAGTTCTTCGTCAAAGAATCCCCCAGAAATAATTTTTGATTATACATATGTCTTGCATCTAAAACTATACACAAGACACAGTTAAATGTGTTCAATCATACTGTATAATTCCGCATGTCCAGACGTGCTTCAAATTGCATCTGAAATATATATATAATATATGGGGAAATATACGTGAACCAGTTGACAATTGTTTTAGGTATGCCTGTTTGCGCTAAGACGGAACTCGGTCGCAAAAATGGCCTTGAGAGGGGAACGAGTTGCTATTCGGCTTGTCCCGGAATAACATGAGTTGGTCACGAATGGGGGCCTGTACCTGAATATATCCTTGAACAGAAGAATTTGTCCACAGATTTAACAAAAAATAAAACTTCCACTGGACCTGCTGGATGATCTGAAGACCACTGTGTTGTTGTGCAAAGAGAACTTGTTTCATTTCTCCCTTTTTGTAGTGCTGATTAATGTCTTCTGTCTCCCACCTCCCCCAACCCCTTCCAGAATACAAATACTCGATCCCTAATGCTGAAGTCAATATTCAGACAAATCCCAGTAGCCTGAAACCCAAGTCACCTGGATGATCAAGGATGAGAGCTTGCCTTCCTGACTGCTTCTATGTCGGCTACTGAGATGAGGACCGACCGTGACCTAAGGAGACACATACTATCGACACTGACCACATCAGTGACCCCCAAGGCTCAAGTTTAGTTAGCTCCAAAGAAAAGCATAAGGACCAACTGTGACCCCAGTCCCCACGGAGGAAACACACTGAAGACACTGACCACATCAGTGACCACCAAGGCTCAAGTTTAGTCAGCTCCAAAGACAAGTATGAGGACCAACTTTGACCAACGTCCCCACGGAGGATAACAATGAAGAACTGACCACATCAGTGACCATCCAGCCTCTAGTTTAGTCAGCTCCAAAGACAAGCATGAGGAACATCTGTGACCCAGGTCACCAAGGAGGACACACACTATCGACACTGACATCAGTGACCATCCAGCCTCTAGTTTAGTCAGCTCCAAAGACAAGTATGAGGACCAACTTTGACCCCAGTCCCCACGGAGGATAACAATGAAGAACTGACATCAGTGACCATCCAGCCTCTAGTTTAGTCAGCTCCAAAGACAAGTATGAGGACCAACTTTGACCAACGTCCCCACGGAGGATAACAATGAAGAACTGACCACATCAGTGACCATCCAGCCTCTAGTTTAGTCAGCTCCAAAGACAAGTATGAGGACCAACTTTGACCAACGTCCCCACGGAGGATAACAATGAAGAACTGACCACATCAGTGACCATCCAGCCTCTAGTTTAGTCAGCTCCAAAGACAAGCATGAGGAACATCTGTGACCCCGGTCCCCAAGGACACACACTATCGACACTGACCACATCAGTGACCACCAAGGCTCAAGTTTAGTCAGCTCCAAAGACAAGCATGAGGAACATCTGTGACCCAGGTCACCAAGGAGGACACACACTATCGACACTGACCACATCAGTGACCACCAAGGCTCAAGTTTAGTCAGCTCCAAATCTGTGACCCAGGGTGGCGTTGTACAAAGCGATCTTAGCACTAAGATGATCGTAACTCTCTTACCTTAACATAGACTTACAACAGTCTTAGTGCTAAGGTTGTTTTGTGCTTCGACACCCAGGTCCCCACAGAGAACACACTGAAGAAACTCACCACATCGGTGACCACCTTCTCATGCAGTTTACGTAGCGGCTTGCAATGAATCGTCTTGTCTCGATTTGTCTTCACTCCAAAATACTGCCGAAGTAAGATGTTTCCCATCATTTCTGAAACAAGAAACAATGAATGTATGACCTACATCTGACAGAGACCTACACCTTTCAATTCTAGCTGGTATTTGTCAAACGAGAAACACTGACCTACAAAATCTTGCAGTTCTTAAACGTTTCTCACTCAGCCATGAACATGTGTACAGTGACCACGGTACTTGCTTACAGTCTGTACAAGATCCTTTTTTTGAACAAAGGTCCTGTGAAGATCCAGGGTAGAATTGGTCTTCAGCAACCCATGCTTGCCATAAAAGGCGACTATGCTTGTCGTAAGAGACGAGTAATGGGATCGGGTGGTCAGGCTCGCTGACTTGGTTGATGCATGTCATCGTATCCCAATTGTGTGGATCAATGCTCATGATGTCAATCACTGGATTGTCTGGTCCATACTCGATAATTTACAGACCGCCGTCATATAGCTGGAGTATTGCTGAGTGCGGCGTTATCCAAGGAACAAAACACACACAAAAAACTTTCAACAAAGAGGCATCAACATCAACATCAACATCTTTGATGACACCAAGAAAGGACATGAATTCATGAACTACTCACATTTTCCTTTCTCACTTTCAACACTGGAGCTGGAATGAGCTGGACAATGTAACAAAGTTGGCAGCACAGAGAAACACAGTGAGAGGTCTGTTTAATTACTTACCATCGACAAATCTGTTGGCGAAGTCACTCTCGGTCCACACTTTGCCTTGTCGAGAAATGAGAGACAGGAGGTAGTCCAGACACAGAGACTCCACTAGCCTGTCTCCAGCCATCTCCTTCACCTACACACAGACACAGACACAGACATGAGGTTCTGGAGAAAGTCCAGACACAGAGACAGACATGAGGTTCTGAAGTCCAGACACAGACACAGACATGAGGTTCTGGAGAAAGTCCAGACACAGACACAGACATGAGGTTTTGAAGTCCAGACACAGACACAGACATGAGGTTCTGGAGAAAGTCCAGACACAAAAGAGGTTCTGGAGAAAGTCCAGACACAGACAGACATGAGGTTCACGAGAAGGTCCAGACACAGACACAGACATGAGGTTCTGGAGAAAGTCCAGACACAGACACAGACATGAGGTTCTGGAGAAAGTCCAGACACAGACACAGACATGAGGTTCTGGAGAAAGTTCAGACACAGACACAGACACAGACACAGACATGAGGTTCTGGAGAAAGTCCAGACACAGACACAGACACAGACACAGACACAGACATGAGGTTCTGGAGAAAGTCCAGACACAGACACAGACATGAGGTTCTGGAGAAAGTCCAGACACGGACAGACATGAGGTTCTGGAGAAAGTCCAGACACAGACAGACATGAGGTTCTGGAGAAGGTCCAGACACAGACACAGACACAGACATGAGGTTCTGGAGAAAGTCCAGACACAGACACAGACATGAGGTTCTGGAGAAAGTCCAGACACAGACATGAGGTTCTGGAGAAAGTCCAGACACAGACAGACATGAGGTTCTGGAGAAAGTCCAGACACAGACACAGACACAGACACAGACAGACATGAGGTTCTGGAGAAGGTCCAGACACAGACACAGACATGAGGTTCTGGAGTCCAGACACAGACACAGACAGACATGAGGTTCTGGAGAAAGTCCAGACACAGACAGACATGAGGTTCTGGAGAAAGTCCAGACACAGACACAGACAAGAGGTTCTGGAGAAGGTCCAGACACAGACAGACATGAGGTTCTGGAGAAGGTCCAGACACAGACAGACATAAGGTTCTGGAGAAAGTCCAGACACAGACAGACATGAGGTTCTGGAGAAAGTCCAGACACAGACACAGACATGAGGTTCTGGAGAAAGTCCAGACACAGACAGATATGAGGTTCTGGAGAAGGTCCAGACACAGACAGACATGAGGTTCTGGAGAAAGTCCAGACACAGACAGACATGAGGTTCTGGAGAAGGTCCAGACACAGACACAGACATGAGGTTCTGGAGAAGGTCCAGACACAGACAGACATGAGGTTCTGGAGAAAGTCCAGACACAGACACAGACACAGACATGAGGTTCTGGAGAAGGTCCAGACACAGACACAGAAATGAGAGACAGTAGCTAGTCCTGACACAGAGACTCCACCAGCCTGTCTCCAGTCTTCTCTTTCACCTACACAGACACAGATATGAGGTACCCGGAGTCCAGACACAGACACAGACATTAGGTACCTGGGCCCGGGATCATGAAACTAACTTAAGATCATATTTTGTCTTAACTCTTAAGATTTAGACTTAAGACCAAATTTTGTCTTAAATCCGTGATCACGAAGCTCAATCACTGAGAATATCTTAAGTCTAAGACAAAATTTGATCTTAAATCCTAAGACTGCCCCTGAGTAGACTTAAGACAAAATTTGTAGCAAGAAAGACGGCGGAGGTTGTTCGCCTCATGCGTTGCCTAGGGGCTAAAAAGGACAAAATAGCAAATTATCGGACATTTCGAGACCGATTCAACCCTCTTGATCTGTACAACGACGAAGAGCTCTTTGAGAGATATAGATTTCGTCGTCCTACCATTTTTTTCATCGTTGGTATAACCGGGGATGAACTGGCACAGATTCTACCCCACTCAGCGTTCCCACAGTCTCCCACCTATTATTCAAGTTTTGATATTCCTTCAGTTTTTTACTATTTGGGCTTTTCACCTTCAGTTGCTCAGTCGCTTTGTGTCAGCCATATTGGATAGTGTTTACAAAATCACGTTATACGTACACCGGTAATGAGACGCAAATACCATCATGTATATTTCAAAATCAGCTGCGATACCTACATCCTTGAATTCCTCATACATTTTAGAATCAAATGCCAAATGGTCTTTGTCACCAATACAAATTGTCTAGATGTAATGAAGCAAAATAAATGAGTCGTGAAAACGAACGCTGAAAAAAGTGCACTTGTTGGAAATGTAAACAAAGCCATTCGTCTATTCGTTGAGTACATTGGCTCAGCATTTTCAGAATAAACACGGGAAGAGAATCGTAGGGAGAATTGGGGAATATATACATTGCAATGATTTGAAATTTTCAACAGAACTTGTCCAGTGTGACGCCATGACTGACGCAAAATCACACACAAGGACAACGGTATTTATCAGTATTTATCGGAATTTCCGTTGGTTTCAATGAAAAATATAACAACAAATAACAGTACACAGATTGTAAGAATGGGTCTGATTACTTACATGTCACTTTTATGTATATACGAACCCTGAATCAACGAAAGTCCCCTTGTAAAATCCCGCGTACTGTTGACAGTCAACACACCATTTTGTAAAAGTCGGTCACCGGTAGTGATGTCATACGTCAACATATGTTGTACATATTAGGTAATTTCTTTGAGGTGAAGGTCCTTGAATGAAAGTACACACGATCATTGTGTCCTAGCAGGCTATTTACAGTTCCAATTATGATGTAGATCGTGCATGTCTTGTGTACATTTTTTCACACATTTAATTTCACTTTGGATATTAATCAATGTTCAATATGATATCATAAGTAGATATAGGCCACAACATGTATGAAGCTTTAATAATATCCTGTTTGTTTGAACAATGTTTACACATGAAATTGATAAGTTTATAGTGTCGTATACGATATTTCTTTATTTTGGACAAGTGATACTAGATGAAATGTAAATGCAACTGCAACATGTATGTATTTATAGGGAGTGTAATAGTCAATATTATAAGTTCATATAAACAGTGTCCACGAATAGCTGTATAACTAAACTGAAGATATAACTTAAAGAAAATTGATATTATTTTTCGTTAAAATATATGCACAAATTTCTAGAAGAATTGTCCTTGTCTTGGAATTTTTTTTATGCCGTTTGATATACAGAACAGTGATATCTAACGATTCGCCAGGTGCGCGTTAATCACAAACGACTTATGAATTATTTCTCTAGTTTTGCATTATATAGTCAATGGGTTCATCCTTTATCAAATATTGTGACCACAAGATATGAAACTGTTTACTATATTTCTACAAGAATTGTAAAAAGTTTTAAAATATAACCCGTGCCATGTACCCCGTTGGTGGACGATTATCCTTATACGATTATCCTGTTAATTCTATACCAAGAAAGCTTTTTCGCATCTTTTATGGTATAATTTTGAGACAAGCTGATGAGAAATATAAATACATAATAATGAACAAATACATGTACAATATTGAATAATAATTTTGTTTGGTTTGAAATAATTTTTTGAGTACTTGCATGATTACGTAAAATTGATGCCAAACAGGTGCGTGTCTTGTCCAATTAAGATACACTGTACATTATCGAATTGTTTATCTATTCAAGACATTATTTACATGGTAAACGCAGTCTTTTTATGTTGTGTCGAAAAAGCGTCAAATTCCGTTTTAAACACATGGACTTTTTCCATATCATGAACGAAAATTAGGGGAGATATATATCAATCAAAATACCAGTGTCGTCTTTCTCCGACGTTATCAAAGACAAACAAGCAGCCATGACGTCAAATAGAATTGTGTCATTTTCTTAGTAATTAATTACATTTGATGATACTTCTAGTGATCCATTTAGATAGGTGCAACATTAGTCAAATTACACTTGCACAATCAGGAGAATGTTGGAATCTAAGGACTTATTTATGGTTTACATAGGGCCATCCATTTCGCTATCACTCATTTTTTATGAAGTATAATTTCTGATGGGTTTTTTATGCCTAAACGTATACAGTTTCAATATCAATATTTGTGTTGGAATAGTTTGGTTCCTCATGAACAAAACACCACGAAAATACACTGTCCTTACCCACAGCTAATTCTCACCAAGTGACCCTAGTTACAATAAACTAGTGCTAAGCATAGCGGAGTTATGCCCCCTTTCCTTTGAACGTGTGTAACCTCTCTGTCGCCTTTTGACGTCATAGCGGTAAATCAGTTTTCGTCATTTACGGCAGGCTATTTTTTTGCATTGAATTTATGTCGTTATACATACTCATATAACTCCATTTGATATATATTTATGTCGTTCAAATATTAGGCAGTATTTTGTTCGCTCAGTTTCGGTAAAGCTGCTAAATTATTATTTTTTGTCGCACAGTACTTTTATTGGTGTACGCTAAAAAGCAGAGAAAAATAAATTCTCGAACAAAACTTAGCAGCGTCTTTTTTTCAAACCGGTTTAATATTTACAGTTAAATTTACACCATCAGATAGGAAATTTAATATTCTACATCACTGCGTAATTTTATAGCAGTGCCGAGTGAGCGCAATTCTCGCACAACCTTCTCTTTTCCGATCTTAGGAAAATGTGCGTCAGAAAAATAACCTCGGCATCCAATGATTACAGTAGTGCGATATTACGTGCGCGTGTCCCTTTGACGACGGTCTTAGACTTAGACTTAGCTAAGATTTTGCTGAGACCGTTTCAAGATCCAGTCTTAGAGCGAATCTTAGCTAAGCAAAATCTTAAAAACTGAAGACAAAATTCGTGCTTAGCAAAATTTGAGCTAAGACCACTTTCATGATCCCGGGCCCTGGGGTCCAGACACAGACACAGACATTAGGTACCTGGAGTCCAGACACAGACACAGACATTAGGTACCTGGAGTCCAGACACAGAGAAACAGATTGTTCAGTGACTGAAAATATGTTGTGTTTCTAATTATAATCACCTCTCCCACCCCAAGAACATGACCTGTTCAGTCCTGTTTACTCACTGACTTCATCTCACGCCGTGTGATCTTGCTGTCGTAGTGCTGGATGATGTCCTTGGCAACCACCACAGCCTCATCCTCAACCTCCGGACCGATCACCTCGTCCTCCAGGAAGTCCTCCGCTATAATGTCAAACACAGCCTCCTCCAGCTGAAACACCAACAGGACATCCTCAATTAACCCTCCTCCAGCTGTAACACGAACAAGACGTCCTCAATTAACCCTCCTCCAGCTGAAACACCAACAAAACATCCTCAATTAACCCTCCTCCAGCTGAAACACCAACAGGACATCCTCAATTAACCCTCCTCCAGCTGTAACACGAACAAGACGTCCTCAATTAACCCTCCTCCAGCTGAAACACCAACATTGCCTCCTCAGTTAACCCTCCTCCAGCTGAAATACCAACAGGCCATCCTCAATTAACCTTCCTCCAGCTGAAACACCAACATTGCCTCCTGAGTTAACCCTCCTCCAGCTGATATACCAACAAGACATCCTCAGTTAACCTCCCTCCAGCTGAAACCTGAACAAGACATCCTCAGTTAACCCTCCTCTAACTGAAACACCAACAGAGCCTCCTCAGTTAACCCTCCTCCAGCTGAAACACCAACAGGACGTTTTCAATTAACCCTCCTCCAGCTGAAACACCAACATTGCCTCCTCAGTTAACCCTCCTCCAGCTGAAACACCAACATTGCCTCCTCAGTTAACCCTCCTCCAGCTGAAACACCAACAGGAACTCCTCAATTAACCCTCCTCCAGCTGAAACAAAAACAGGACGTCCTCAGTTAACCCTCCTCCAGCTGAAATACCAACAGGACATCTTCAATTAACCCTCCTCCAGCTGAAACACCAACAGGACGTCCTCAGTTAACCCTCCTCCAGCTGAAACACCCACAGGAAATCCTTTTATGTTTGAAACAAGCAGGTATTGTTCCAGTACATGACTCTCCTTGTTGCATGTCTCTTGAATACAACTCGGAACATCTTTGAAGAAAAACTTCATAATAACAGTGTGATTTGACATGATTTTATTGCAGATCTCTGCCAAACTCGTGCTCAAAAGAGGCACTTTGATTGGTTGCTGATTATTGAGTTATTGAGCGAGAGAAATCCTCTGTACTGAGTTGGTGATTAGTAGGGCTGTTACGATTCACTCGTGTATGCGGTTAATCGAACCGTATTCATTCATGAATTGAATTCGTTATTCGTAGCCACTAGAATCGAATATATATGAATATGCAATCATGTGCATTTACATACCCTGTACCTAAAAATATTCATAAAAGTTTATCAAAACATATTAAATGCATAGATCTCTTCAAAAACAACACTCTTATAATATTTAATTTGACAGTATTGTGGTCACTGGTCATTGTCGCATTTGAGCATATACTTGTACCTGGACAAGTGCAGTATATTAATGTTAAATATATTAATAATTAACAAACCATGTCAAATAATTTATGTTATTGTTTCACTGTATAGAACAAATAATACACCAACTGCTGACTTGTAATTGTATTCGTGAATTAAAATTCGTATTCGTTACCCTATATTCGTGATACAAATCGTATTCGCCTCATAGTGTATTTGTTGCAGCCCTAGTGATTAGAGGTATCACGATTGTCACTTCCAAATGAAAGCTGTTGTGGTCATTGGGCCAAGGTGACATATCTGATGCTGTTGGAAATTAAGCATGAAAATCGATTAATCCTTGTCATAGCCTAATATTAAAACTTAAATATTTAGGTGGTCCTAAGATTCAAATACCACAGCAGAGCAAGGCAGGAGTAGCATCATCTAACTCTCCAGGAAGAGTGAGTGAGTGAGTGAGTGAGTGAGTGAGTGAGTGAGTGAGTGAGTGAGTGAGTGAGTGAGTGAGTGAGTGAGTGAGTGAGTGAGTGAGTGAGTGAGTGAGTGAGTGAGTGAGTGAGTGAGTGAGTGAGTGAGTGAGTGAGTGAGTGAGTGAGTGAGTGAGTGAGTGAGTGAGTGAGTGAGTGAGTGAGTGAGTGAGTGAGTGAGTGAGTGAGTGAGTGAGTGAGTGAGTGAGTGAGTGAGTGAGTGAGTGAGTGAGTGAGTGAGTGAGTGAGTGAGTGAGTGAGTGAGTGAGTGAGTGAGTGAGTGAGTGAGTGAGTGAGTGAGTGAGTGAGTGAGTGAGTGAGTGAGTGAGTGAGTGAGTGAGTGAGTGAGTGAGTGAGTGAGTGAGTGAGTTTGGTTTTAAGCCGCTTTTAGCAATATTCCAGCAATATCACGGCAGGGGACACCAGAAATGGGCTTCACACATTGTACCCACGTCGGGAATCGAACCCGGGTCTTCGGCGTGACGAGCGAACGCATTCACCACTAGGCTACCCGACCGCCCCCCAGGAATAGTGAGATAGATTCAGAGCATCATCACTCAATGTGTACAACAAACATGTTGTCCCAGACATTTCATTTTCAGGTTAGTTTCATCACAAAACACATACCGAGTCCATTCCTACTCACCAGCTCGTTCCTCATGTCCTGGACTTCCTCCGCCAGCAGCTCGTCTAGGATGTTGTCGGCCATGACGTCCTCCAGGTAGTTGTGTGCCAGCTCCAGCACCGTCTCACGCACCACCTCCCGGCACTGCTCCATCACCGCCGCCGCCACCACGTCCTCCAGGAACATCTCCAGGGGGTCGGGAGGGGGGATGTAGTAGGGGGTGAGGGGGGTGGGAGGGAGGCTGACCTTGGTGTATCTGCACAGGGGACACATCAGCATATTCAATGTAGCCATCCATCTTTCCATCCATCAACTGTTGAAGCACTTAAGTCTTGTAGTGACACATTCAATCTGTCCATCCATCATCCATCCATCTTTCCATCCATCAACTGATGAAGCACTTCAGTCTTGTAGTGACACATTCAATCTATCCATCTTTCCATCCATCAACTGTTGAAGCACTTCAGTCTTGTAGTGACACATTCAATCTATCCATCATCCATCCATCCACCAACTGTTGAAGCACTTCAGTCTTGTAGTGACACATTCAATCTGTCCATCATCCATCCATCCATCAACTGTTGAAACACTTCAGTCTTGTAGTGACACATTCAATCTGTCCATCTATCCATCCATCAACTGTTGAAACACTTCAGTCTTGTAGTGACACATTCAATCTATCCATCCATCTTTCCATCCATCAACTGTTGAAGCACTTCAGTCTTGTAGTGACACATTCAATCTGTCCATCTATCCATCCATCAACTGTTGAAACACTTCAGTCTTGTAGTGACACATTCAATCTGTCCATCTATCCATCCATCAACTGTTGAAGCACTTCAGTCTTGTAGTGACACATTCAATCTGTCCATCTATCCATCCATCAACTGTTGAAACACTTCAGTCTTGTAGTGACACATTCAATCTGTCCATCTATCCATCCATCAACTGTTGAAGCACTTCAGTCTTGTAGTGACACATTCAATCTGTCCATCCATCATCCATCCATCAACTGTTGAAGCACTTCAGTCTTGTAGTGACACATTCAATCTGTCCATCTATCCATCCATCAACTGTTGAAACACTTCAGTCTTGTAGTGACACATTCAATCTATCCATCCATCTTTCCATCCATCAACTGTTGAAGCACTTCGGTCTTGTAGTGACACATTCAATCTATCCATCATCCATCCATCCATCAACTGTTGAAGCACTTCGGTCTTGTAGTGACACATTCAATCTGTCCATCCATCATCCATCCATCCATCCATCCTAGCATAAACTGTTATTTCCGGATGCCACGATACAGCTGGAGTATTGCTGATTGTGACACAGAACAACATTCACTCGCACTAAAGTACTCATGAATATGAAAAAAACCCTGTTTTGCTGGATTTAATAATCGACACAAAGCATTACGTAGATGTAAATACGAAATAACAAAACAACTGGAAAAGTACTAGTCTGGATTTGCTAGTTTTATCTCAGAGCTCAATACAAAATGTACTTTACAGGAGGTAATTTGTAGGCACTTTCAACATTCAAAAATAAAACTAAGTCTAAATTGACATGGCAGAAACAGGCTATAAGCATTATGCAAATTAGACTGGAAAAAAAGTTATCAAAACAACAATAAAAATAACAGCTATGTTTATGTACATAATAATAATGACATATAAGTTGTTGTTTGAGAAGGGAATATGTTACTTTTACGTTCTGATATTTTGTCGATGATTCACTATCCCACAATGCAACTCACAAATCACTAACCACTGACAAATCACATGCACGTGGGTTTCAAGCACCTGTTTTCACCTGTCGCCAAGGTGTCATAGGTCATGGACATTCACCTTGATCTACTAACACCAGGTTATGCTCAGTTTCACAATAGTCTGTTTTGTTCATATTTTTACACACTTTTACGTGTAAAAAGACATAAAAACCTTTGATACGCTGTGTTTGTGCCAAGGGCCAATTAGAACTAATTGAGTTGTTTGAATATTTATATATTTTGTATATTAACTGCATTTATTTAAAATCTGAGATAAAAAAATCAGGGTTTTTTCATTTCTGTGAGTACTTTAGTATTGATCATTTTGGAAGAAAAGAAAATACTAATTTATGACAGCCTTTTGCACCTTATTTCAAGAGCAGAATTTCTGCAATTAAGACGTGGCAAAACAATCCTTTTGAGTGAGTGAGTGAGAGAATGGGTTTAAAACCACTTAGGACAATATTTCCGTTATACCACGGCATGTCAGCCTGATGTGTGGGGAAAGCCAAGTCTTAGACAAGCATGGGTATGGTGCTGACTAGGACTGTGTATTTACCTGGATATTGTATTGCAATAAATTGCCATACTTTAACCTGTATTGCGATACATATTGCAATATATTGCCAATTTACTTTTTCAGAGTTAATTAGAGTTATACCCTGTATTAATGTCAGTTACCATCAATCTCCTTTTTTCCAGCGCGTGACACCTTCGTTATACTCTCGGTATAGAGAGCTCCGCAAACCGGCTATCGCTGTGAGGAGCTTGATAGTCACGATGTGTACACGCTAATTGATAAAAAGATCGGCAGAGGCAAGTTTTACCAGAAAGATACTATTTTCCATCTCGATATCGATTAGGAACACATAAATATACTTATTTATATTTGCCCCAATATATCGCTATATTTACAAACGTATCGCAATACGTATTGCTGAAGATTTGCACCACAATATAAAGGTGTACCGGTAATGCCGTACACCCTTAGTGCTGACAAACCAAGAAACATTATCAGGCGAATCTGGGATTAGAACCCTTAATCTTATGATCCTGGTACGCCTAAGGGACACAACTCCGCACGACTAGGTCACCTGTGTCGTGATAAAGAACATGTTGATGTTTTGAGAAATGATGACCTACGGTCTAGCCTCCTCCAGCATAGCCTCCCTCACAATCTCCACCGTCATCTCCTCGATCTCCCGCGTCAGGACGTCGTCACACGCTCGCAGCGCCGGCATGAACCATGGATGCTCCGCTGGCTGCAGCACAACAACATCATCATCACCATCAACAGACTAATTGGTACAAACACAGGAATCCAGCTGCTGATATTCATAATTGTATACATCCATCTCTATATCATCTTCCTAAGGCAAGGGAGTTAACTGACTGTAAAAGTCCAGTTTCCACCCTTGCCGAACTAGGCTGGAATTTCTGGGCTCGAATACAGCGCTACCAGTGGCTATTACGAGTCATGTCCCTTCTATATGCCTCCTATTGACTAATCAGATTCCACCCCTTATATCACTTTCATTTGCTTCAAACAATATGGTAGCGCCACATCAAGATTATCTAATCGATGATCAAGATATATATATTGCAATAAAACGGGTCTTATCTTACATAAAAGAATGTAAGTACCTTGATTGGGAATATATCTGTCAATGCCCAGTGGACAGTACACATCTTTTGCAAATCCTGCAGTCTAGTAAGACAACGGTGGAGACTGGACATTTAAAGGCAGTTAATTCCCTTGCCTTGGGAAGACATCTCTATATATAGACACAAAAGATGGGTCAATTACAGCAAAAGGCATTTAAATTGTTAATGTTAAAATGCCCCATTGTATTTGAAAATGTGGGCCTTTTTTTCAAAATTAGGGGCTAAGAGCACAAGGCCCCACCACAGAATTATTCCTGCAGATTCCTCACCTTCTCTGCTGGAAACACAAAGAGCAACTATGGTAAACAGAAGAAATGTTTAATAACACATAGATGGAAATGAGATGAGGAACAAAACTTAAAACAACTTAACAGCAAGTCACAGACGTGATGTAGGCCCGAGGTGTTTACCACACGCAAGTATTGGATTCAAACCAACTACCAGCTGATCCTGGTGTCGCAAAGGGCCACAACTCTGAACATTTAATGGTTGTGCTTAACAACTCTGGGCAGCTGTGCTACTTCCTCTCCATGAACATGAGTGAGTGAGTGAGTGAGTGAGTTGGGTTTAACGCCGCTTTTAACAGTATTCCAGTTATATCACGGCGTGTCAGCTTAATGTGGGAGGAAAGCCTGAAGTGATACAGGTCTCAGACGTTTACCACTTTGGTGAAACCCACGAACACGGGTATGGTGCTGACAAACCTAGAAACATAATCGGGGCGAACCGAGATTAGAACCCACAATCATAGGTTTCTGGCGTGCCCAAGGGATGCAACTCTGCACAGCGAATCGTGGCGCCTTAGACGACTGGGCCACCTGTGCCCCCTCCATGAACATGAAATCATGTGAATAGTTTTTATAGCAGTGTCTAAAATACCCGCCTGCCCGAATGTCCAAGACGAGCTGTTTTCCTCTTGGACAGTCGACTTTTACAATATGCACAGCCGATATTCTGCTTGATTTTTTTTCAAAAATGATAAGAACTTATGAAATGAGTACATATAATTCTCAGTTGTAGTTATTGATATTGATTATTCATTCAAATCTGGACTTCTCGATTTGTAATCGAATTGGCAACATTTAACAAGACTTGCAAGTCTGGCCGGAACTTGTCTGAATTTGAAATACTGTGACAATCAGTGCTGTAGTGAGGATCAGTAGGGGTGGAGGGGTCCACTATGTGGGGTGTGACAGAGGGGTGGAGGGGTCCACTATGTGGGGTGTGACATCAGTAGGGGTGGAGGGGTCCACTATGTGGGGTGTGACAGAGGGGTGGAGGGGTCCACTATGTGGGGTGTGACAGGGGTGTGGAGGGGTCCACTATGTGGGGTGTGACAGGGGTGTGGAGGGGTCCACTATGTGGGGTGTGACATCAGTAGGGGTGGAGGGGTCCACTATGTGGGGTGTGACAGGGGTGTGGAGGGGTCCACTATGTGGGGTGTGACAGGGGTGTGGAGGGGTCCACTATGTGGGGTGTGACATCAGTAGGGGTGGAGGGGTCCACTATGTGGGATGTGACAGAGGGGTGGAGGGGTCCACTATGTGGGGTGTGACAGGGGTGTGGAGGGGTCCACTATGTGGGGTGTGACAGGGGTGTGGAGGGGTCCACTATGTGGGGTGTGACATTTGTAGGGGTGGAGGGGACCACTATGTGGGGTGTGACAGGGGTGTGGAGGGGTCCACTATGTGGGGTGTGACATCAGTAGGGGTGGAGTGGTCCACTATGTGGGGTGTGACAGGGGTGTGGAGGGGTCCACCATGTGGGGTGTGACAGGGGTGTGGAGGGGTCCACTATGTGGGGTGTGACATTTGTAGGGGTGGAGGGGTCCACTATGTGGGGTGTGACATCAGTAGGATTGGAGGGGTCCACTATGTGGGGTGTGACAGGGGTGTGGAGGGGTCAACTATGTGGGGTGTGACATCAGTAGGGGTGGAGGGGTCCACTATGTGGGGTGTGACATTTGTAGGGGTCGAGTGGTCCACTATGTGGGGTGTGACATCAGTAGGGGTAGAGGGATCCACTATGTGGGGTGTGACAGGGGTGTGGAGGGGTGGAGGGGTCCACTATGTGGGGTGTGACATTTGTAGGGGTGGAGGGGTCCACTATGTGGGGTGTGACATCAGTAGGATTGGAGGGGTCCACTATGTGGGGTGTGACAGGGGTGTGGAGGGGTCCACTATGTGGGGTGTGACATCAGTAGGGGTGGAGGGGCCCACTATGTGGGGTGTGACATTTGTAGGGGTGGAGTGGTCCACTATGTGGGGTGTGACATCAGTAGGGGTAGAGGGATCCACTATGTGGGGTGTGACAGGGTCCAAATTGTGTGGTGTGACATCAGTAGGGGTGGAGGGGTCCACTATGTGGGGTGTGACATCAGTAGGGGTAGAGGGATCCACTATGTGGGGTGTGACAGGGGTGTGGAGGGGTCCACTATGAGGGGTGTGACAGGGGTGTGGAGGGGTGGAGGGGTCCACTATGTGGGGTGTGACATCAGTAGGGTTGAGGGGTCCAAATTGTGTGGTGTGACATCAGTAGGGGTGGAGGCGTCCACTATGTGGGGTGTGACATCAGTAGGGATGGAGGGGTCCACTATGTGGGGTGTGACATCAGTAGGGGTGGAGGGGTCCACTATGTGGGGTGTGACATCAGTAGGGGTGGAGGGGTCCACTATGTGGGGTGTGACATCAGTAGGGGTGGAGGGGTCCACTATGTGGGGTGTGACATCAGTAGGGGTGGAGGGGTCCACTATGTGGGGGGAGACATCAGTAGGGGTGGAGGGGTCCACTATGTGGGGTGTGACATCAGTAGGGGTGGAGGGGTCCACTATGTGGGGTGTGACATCAGTAGGGGTGGAGGGGTCCACTATGTGGGGGGAGACATCAGTAGGGGTGGAGGGGTCCACTATGTGGGGTGTGACATCAGGAGGGGTGGAGGGGTCCACTATGTGGGGTGTGACATCAGTAGGGGTGGAGGGGTCCACTATGTGGGGTGTGACAGGGGTGTGGAGGGGTCCACTATGAGGGGTGTGACAGGGGTGTGGAGGGGTAGAGGGGTCGACTATGTTTGGAGGTGTGGAGGGGTCCACTATGTGGGGTGTGACATCAGTAGGGATGGAGGGGTCCACTATGTGGGGTGTGACAGAGGGGTGGAGGGGTCCACTATGTGGGGTGTGACAGGGGTGTGGAGGGGTAGAAGGGTCGACTATGTTTGGAGGTTTGGAGGGGTCCACTATGTGGGGTGTGACATCAGTAGAGGTGGAGAGGTCCACTATGTAGGGTGTGACATCAGTAGGGGTGGAGGGGTGGAGGGATCAACTATGTGGGGTGTGACAGGGGTGGAGGGGTCCACTATGTGGGGTGTGACATCAGTAGGGGTGGAGGGGTCCACTATGTGGGGTGTGACATCAGTAGGGGTCCACTATGTGGGGTGTGACAGGGGTGTGGAGGGGTCCACTATGTGGGGTGTGACAGCTGTGGAGAAACAGTGTGTACAAACAGAAAAGGAGCAAGAAAACAACTGTCAATACAGGGAAAAAAACTACATCATCACACACAGCTCAACCACACACTCCCTACTCTACATTATAGCAAGTCTCATAGAAAACTAACATTTAAAAACATTCAAAATGTCCTGTTAAATTTACAAGAAATTCATGTTTTAAAAGAAATTTAATGTTGTGATTCTAACATAAATAGGACGGCTAAACTAATATCACATATGTGCTACTGTGACGCAAACCAATATTAACTTCAGTACAACTAGTGCTATCAAGATGGGTGTAAGCTGGTGTGGAGAGTTGGGTGTTAATATGAAGAAAGCTGTCTATAGGTATCTTTGAGCAGCATCTACAACATTAAGAAAATTTAAAATTGATCAATTTTGAATTAATTTCCTAAAAGCTATGTAGCAATTTTGAATTCACTCCAAAATTCAATTTTATCAATTAATTCCTCAAAATATTGTTAAAATTTTAAAAAATAAAAATATTGAAAATCTACTTTACATACCAGACTATGAACTGGGGAATGTTGTGCGAGGGTTTAGTAGTGGTATGTAGATTTGGCCAAGTCTGTCTGTCATATGCCCTCACTACATCCCTTGGCCCTAGCTACTTGTCGGAAGAGGCGACTAACGGGATCGGGTGGTCGGGCTCGCTGACTTGGTTGATGCATGTCATCATATCCCAATTGCGTAGGTCGATGCTCATGATGTCAATCACTGGATTGTCTGGTTCAGACTTGTTTATTTACAGACCGCCGTCATATAGCTAAATATTGCTGAGTGTGGCGTTAAACAACAAACAAACAAAAACCCAAAATCCCAGCCCTCACAGACACCTGGCCAGGAGGGATTTTATGACAATTCATGTGATTTCTAAGAAACTTCTAATACGAGGGGTTATCTCCCTTGAGAAAACATATATTATTTGCCAAACAGACTTGGCCAAGTCTAGGTAGGTGTGAAGGCAGGGTCAGTGTGCTATATGAAGGGTCATTACGATATATACACACCAACTTGTCAACCTCCGTAAGAGCATCTATCAAAACATCGGGCACAAACTCCTCCTCTAAACAATCGGTTATAAACCACGTGACAAAGTCCTCGGCAAACAGCGGATGTTTAATGAAATGTGTGTGAGTCTCATCCTGAAAATAAAGTCGAAAGCCATCACCAACACAACAAACGTCAACACAACAAACGTCAACACAACAAACGTAACACAACAAAACGTCAACACAACACAACGAAACACAACAAAACATTTCAACATTTCACCACAACACAGTTCGAGTAGAGGTTTGAGGATATTTAGATAAATCAGTATTAGTAGAAAATGCATATTGCTTTCATAATTTGAAAAGTACTTCTGAATCTTTGATGATTCTGGTTGGCAGTGGCTGAAACCGGTTATTGACAAGGCCATTCCAAATACGGAGCAAATTTGTTTTTGTTTTTTAATATTTCTACTCTTGATTGACTCAAACCATTTGAGAAGATGTCATGGATGATTGAGTGAGTGAGTTAATATTAAACGTGTCCTCGGTAATATTTCAGCCATATCGTGACGAGAAGTTTTTCATTATAAATACATATATTTAGTCTAAATAAAAACCTGTCATCGATGGACAGTAAAATAACTAGAATATCCCAGATTAATATTTAAAACTAGCATACAACCATAAAAAGATACTACTATATGAAAGAATTGTTTGATAGACATTACTTACAAGTTGACGGCTTGACAACGACGTAAGGATCTATACCGAAACGTCCTTTTTACAGTATTAAAGAAGTTGTTATCCATAAAATTGTGTCTGCCTTGTACCATATGGAACAATACAATATAAAAAAGGGCTATGGATCGCCAGCAACTGAAGGTAGATCACCCTACTAGGGACCATGGGGACTTACAGTACTTAAGCTACCTGCATGGAACCCGGCAGGATTTACACCATCCCTTCAGTTGTTGGGGATGGCAGACAAATGTATCCAAGCATTTGTTTGCGTGTTTATTTGTTTGTTGTTTATCCCCGCATTCAGCAATATTCCATCTATATGCGTCGGACTGTAAATAATCAAGTCTGGGCCAGACAATCCAGTGAGTGACCTCATGAGCATCGATCCATCCAATTGGGATACGAAGACATGCATCAACAAAGTCATCGAGTCACCACCCGATCCCATAAGTCGCCTCTTACAGCAAGGGAGGGGAGCAGGAAGGGGTCGGGGGGAGGAGAGAGAGAGAGATATAGTATGTTGTAGACAACCCACCCCAACAGGGAGAGGATTTTGATATCCTGGGCCCCTCCCTTTTAAAAGTGCTGGATCCGCCCTTAATCCAGCATGCTTGTGAATACTTTGGTTTGATTAAAAACAGCCTAACACTTTCGCCTACTCCCCAGGATATATAAGTGAGTGAGTGAGTGAGTATTGTTTTACGCCGCTTTAAGCAATATTCCAGCAATATCACTGCCGGGGACACCAGATATGGGCTTCACACAATGTACGGGAATCGAATCCGGGTCTTCGGCGTGACGAGCGAACGCTTTAACCACTAGGCTACCCGACCGCCCCTAATGTATATAAGTGTTATGCCATATGTTGCATTCAGATTAATAGACAAACAAAGTTGGCAAAATGAGAAAAATATTTTCAATATTCAAGGATCCAATGAGCAGTGAAGGAGATTTCTGCCACACCTGGATATCATCAAACCTCTTGCACCAACACACCACACGGTAGTCATGTAATTACAAGCACACAGTTTTGTTATAACGTTTGACATTGAATGCCATAAAAATACAGAATAAAAAGAGAAGATAATCAAGGATTTACTGATTGGCACAAACTGTTAATGCCCTGGCTCCATCACTACACGCCACATCAAACACATTCCCACGACCTCCGTCCACACGAGAACTCACCGAGATGTGGTCCGGCTCAATGTCCAGTAGTGGCTGAACATACTGCAACAAAACAACGACACAATGAAACATACATCAACTCCAGGGACTTAGAAACAAAAGAACGACACAATGAAACACATTTATCAACTCCAGGGACTAGAAACAAAACAACGACACAATGAAACACATTCATCAACTCCAGGGACTGGAAACAAAACAACGACACAACGAAACACATTCATCAACTCCAGGGACTGGAAACAAAAGAACGACACAATGAAACAAATTCATCAACTCCAGGGACTGGTAACAAAACAACGACACAATGAAACACATTCATCAACTCCAGGGACTGGAAACAACACAACGACACAATGAAACAAATTCATCAACTCCAGGGACTAGAAACAAAACAACAACACAATGAAACACATTCATCAACTCCAGGGACTGGAAACAAAACAACGACACAATGAAACACATTTATCAACTCCAGGGACTGGAAACAAAACAACGACACAATGAAACACATTCATCAACTCCAGGGACTGGAAACAAAACAACGACACAATGAAACAAATTCATCAACTCCAGGGACTGGTAACAAAACAACGACACAATGAAACACATTCATCAACTCCAGGGACTGGAAACAACACAACGACACAATGAAACAAATTCATCAACTCCAGGGACTAGAAACAAAAGTGAGATTCTGGGTCCGTAGATCCTTCTGTAGACTCCAAAACCTTGGAATGTTCTTGGGATGAGGGACGATCTGTAGGAAGTCCCCTTACAGAATCTGCTTCATCAGTCTGGAGATTTTGTTATCCTGACAATTAGAGAACCTCTAAAAACAATAGCATGACTTAAGGTTAATATGATGGAGGTGGTGCCTTTACTTACCCGGTACGACCTCCTGGGTGGCGTGTAGGCTCTACGGTGCCGGACAGGTTCTTCCTCCGACTCCTCTTCATCATCCTCTGAATCTGATCCCCCAGCTATTGTATGCACAGGCATCACATAAGCATTCAACATGGGTACCGGGTACCCGTTCATCGGCCCCGGGTAGCTGTGGAGGGGTATCGGGTACCCGTTGTTCAAAGGAACAGAATTTCGAGCAGGGTCACGGCGGGACTTGCGGCCCTTCTTTTTCGAGGTGGACTCCGAGAGACGTAATCGATCTCTGTGAATGTCTTTGTATCCTCTGTCAGACTTCCTCTTCTTGTCTCTGCGCTTCTGGTGCCGCCCCGCCCCCTTTGGTGGAGGAGGGTAGTACATAGGGAAGGGCTGACCGTAGACCACATTGGGCGGGGCATATATAGGGTAAGGGAGGGGGTGGGGCTTGAGTTGGTCGTCCTCGTCATCGTCAGTTTCTTCCCCCCAGCTGTCATATTCAGGAGGGCTGAAACCATGGCAACAAGATGGCATGAACATATCAATATATAAAGCAAGACTCAATATTGCTTTTTATGGTATACCATATTTTGTTTGAGTAAATTGCGCAACCCTCTCTAGCAGATTGAGTATTTTTGAAAAAAAATAATATATTAAGCGCAAAAAAACTTACACGTACTCCTTGCTCAGTAATTGAAATTTGAGATTAAAAATTTTCTTGTAAACTAATCCGAAAAACAGCAATCAGCTGTACACACGTTTTCTTGGAATCTACTGGTGATTCAGTTAAAACTTTCCCAATGATATAACTTTGAAGGATTTTGATGCAAGGATTGGGAAAAATTGTAACTGAAACTATTTTTTTATCAGGAATATTATTTTCCCGAGTTAGTTCTTTACTTACTTGACAAAAGCTTTTCTTGGTTTTACTGGCGGTACTTCCTCGTATCTTGTTTTCCTTAGGTTTCTGTGAGACCTGCGTTCTTCATGTTCCGGGGGGGTGTCGAGTCTGTCACACAAACAGCACAGTACACAACGGTGGGGGTAAGTGCAGGGGTAGGTGGGTTGCAGTGATGAGCGGGTTTGCAGGGGTAGGGCAGGGGTAGGGCAGTGGAGCTGCAGGGGTATGGTTGGAGTAGGGCGGTGGAGCTGCAGGGGTATGGTGGGGGTAGAGCGGTGGAGCTGCAGGGGTAGGGCTGTGGAGCTGCAGGGGGAGGGCAGGGGTAGGGCCGTGGAGCTGCAGGGGTAGGGTGGTGGAGCTGCAGGGATAGGGTGGTGGAGCTGCAGGGGGAGGGCAGGGGTAAGGTGGTGGAGCTGCAGGGGGAGGGCAGGGGTAGGGCCGTGGAGCTGCAGGGGTAGGGTGGTGGAGCTGCAGGGATAGGGTGGTGGAGCTGCAGGGATAGGGTGGTGGAGCTGCAGGGGGAGGGCAGGGGTAGGGCCGTGGAGCTGCAGGGGTAGGGTGGTGGAGCTGCAGGGATAGGGTGGTGGAGCTGCAGGGGGAGGGCAGGGGTAAGGTGGTGGAGCTGCAGGGGGAGGGCAGGGGTAGGGCTGTGGAGCTGCAGGGATAGGGTGGTGGAGCTGCAGGGGGAGGGCAGGGGTAGGGCTGTGGAGCTGCAGGGGGAGGGCAGGGGTAGGGCTGTGGAGCTGCAGGGGTAGGGTGGTGGAGCTGCAGGGGTAGGGTGGTGGAGCTGCAGCGGGAGGGCGGTGGAGCTGCAGGGATAGGCGGTGGAGCTGCGGGGGTAGGAGGTGGAGCTGCAGGAGTAGCTGGTGGAGCTGCAGCGGTAGGCCTGTGGGGGTAGGGCGGTGAAGCTGCAGGGGTAGGGTGTTGGAGCTGCAGGGGTAGGCGGGGTAAGGTGGGGGTAGGGCGGGGGGAGGGCAGTGGAGCTGCAGGGAAGTGCAGGGGGACAACTAGTGTTTGAAATAATTTTACAACCCAAAAAGGCAAACAGGCAGGTGACCCATAAGCGTTGCCTGCCCATCTTTAGTGTTACCTGCCCACCCGCATTCAAACGTTCTAAATAGGGAAAAATCACAAAAAATAAGAGACAAATCGAGTCTTGATTGACTGGGAGAACCCTCTTCTTAGGAAAATAAATATGTATGTTACATTTTTATAGGTCAAGTGCCCGATACAAGAATAACCACTACAGTTGTTCATGCTATCATCCACCTGTTTACCATGTCGCCATGACCCCATTATTTACAGACTTCGGTGATATGAAACTAGCATTCAAAATGCAACACTAATGTTTCAGTAAGTTTCACTTAAAAATTAGAAATTCCCAGTATAAATGTTACCTGGGTAAGTTAGGGGGCGTGGCCCGTCTGTACTTGCCGTAGGGAGGGTGGGTATTTCTGGCTGCTGGGGACCTCCTCCCGTACACTGGGGTCCGGGTCTTGGTGGCAGGACTTCTCTTCCCACTCACTAAGTGGGTCCTGATGCGGCGTAAACTGAAAAAGGGGATGTTTTGTTTCAGCCTGTAACTTGATGTCACTTTTGTTTGTTTGTTTGTTGTTTGACGCCGCACTCAGCAATATTCCACCTATATGACGGCGGTCTGTAAATAATCGAGTCTGGACCAGACAATCCAGTGATTGACATCATGAACATCGGTCCACGCAATAGGGATCGATGACATGCATCAACCAAGTCAGTGAGCCTGACCACCCGATCCCGTTAGTCGCCTCTTACGACAAGCATAGTCGCCTTTTATGGCAAGCATGGGTTGCTGAAGACCTATTCTACCCCGGATTCTTAAGCCACTAGTTCGAAGTAAATATATGCTTGGGTTAGTAAGCTCAGCTAATAATAATCCACATATTAACATGCACAAAATAAAATAATTCCACTGAAACTGATGCCAAGTTCAGGCTAGAATTTTAGCACCGGTTGCTTTTTTTGCAACAACTTTCAGCAAAATAGGTTTTCAATTACAGAACTTGATTCATACGAGAGAAATGTACTTCTGGTAGAAACCCGTGAAGATCCGGGTAGAATAGGTCTTCAGCAACCCATGAATTTGCCATAAAAGGCAACTATGCTTGTCGTAAAAGGCAACATGCATAGCCTGTATATATCGCGAAATCCATAGTACACAGTGTTAAGGATAAGCAAGTGAAGATTGAATCAGGGGAATGTTGGTTTTTGTCAGTTTGCAGACAAACTGATAGCAGCACTTTTTTATTCATTTTGATGAATAAAAAAATTAAGTGTGATACCAGAGATACTAACAAAATTATTTTGAATAACTGAAGCGGTGCACGTGATACGTGCTCTAAAAACGATGGCAATAACTGGTACTTTAAGTTGACAGGAAAGTTTTATTTCCACAGTTTTGATTCCCTATTGTAGCGTTATAACAGAAATCAACTGAATCTTATTTCACTGACAGAAATGGCTGCTTTTGATCATGGTTTCACAAAAATATATTGGTAACTTATTGGTAGTCAACTTTGTACACAGAATATGTCAGAAATAACATGAAAACTGATAACTGATTGGTGACTAGTAGTGCAGTCATTGTGCTTGAGACCCATGTTGTTAGTTCAAGACTTTACATACTTTTGATAAGACATATCTATTAGGGCTGGGACGGGTAACTCTGGTACCTGGGTCGGGTGGGTACTGAATAGGACCGGGGTACCCACAGGACTACCCAGACCCATGGTTGCTCACTGGACATATTGTTTAATGACACAAATTATCTGGAACTCTATGGTTACACTACAAGTCACTAATGTTCGCTTTTCTTTCTGACTGTCCACCCATTCCTTCTGATTTTTCATATGGTTGAATATAGATATAACTTAAATCAAATTCAGTGTATGAATGACCTGATTGTTTAAAACATGTATCTAAATACGTTTGCCAGGGTTATGCTAAAACTGTTCCCAATCGGACATTTTGAGACATCTCCCGAGACCTACAGTGGGTACCCGGGTAGGGTCAAGTAATAGGGGGGTGTGTACCCGGGTAGTAAATGTGGACTCGTCCCAGCCCTAATATCTATACCATCTATCTTCTATGTCATCACCAAATTTGAAAATTATTTCATCATGACATCTATACTTAGATCTATTTGAAACCCTGGTATGAACCTAAAGTTTAAACAGTGTAGAGATTCGTTTCATGGATTATCCGACCCTTGAAGATTCAGGGTCTTCAGCAACCCATGCTTGCCTAAAAGGCGACTATGCTCGTCGTAAGAGGAGACTAACAAGATTGGGTGGTCAGACTGGCTGACTTGGTTGATGCACCTCATAAATCCCAATTGTGTGAATCGATGCTGATGATGTTAATCACCGGATTGTCTGGTCCAGACTCGATTATTTACAGACCGCCTCATATATATAGCTGGCATACTGCTGAGTGTGGCATTAAACAACAAACAAACAAACAAACAAATTAATGAAATATCCTTTCACATATACTGGCTCAAAGTTGAACTTGCATCCCTAGAAAACAGTTGGGTTTAGGCCTGAAATAGGCGTTATTCCAAACTCGTCAAAACTGCCACATCTGAGAGTCACAGTGCTGTGGAATGCGCGACGGAATGAGACTCGATTCAAGTACAGTTTTCCCACTTACGAGTCTTGGTGTTCCCTCCAAAAGTGTTCCTTAGCTTCTACCGACATACTCCACGTGTATCACATCATCGGCGATGGTCCAGACGGTGTATATGATAAAAGCGAAGTACTCAAATAACTCTCTCGTAAATTTGTTTACATGCCGCCATGGATCCCGAAGCGCCGCCTAGTGTACAAAGGGAAATAATTCTACAACAGGAATAGTCGCATGCCACTAATATTGTCTAGCTGGTTTAGGATTTCACGTGAACGAACGTCCTGTGTGATTTACTTAAAAAAGGATATTTTTTTGGTTGTCCTTAGAAAAGAATTTCTGTATTTTAGTAGTCATCAATATTCTAGCAATAAAGCATGCCGTGACAGCTAGACGACTATATATGCTTGATGACTAACGTGATCGGGTGGTGAGACTCGCTGACTTGGTTGATGCATGTCATCGATCCCATTTGCGTGGATCGATGCTCATGATATTAATGGCTGGATTGTCTGGTCCAGACTCGATTATTTACAGACCGCTGTCATGTAGCTGGAATATTTCTGATTAATTTCGCCGTTATTTGTTTTGTTTGTTTGTTTGTTGTTTAACGCCGCACTCAGCAATAATCCAGCTATATGACGGCGGTCTGTAAATAATCGAGTCTGGACCAGACAATCCAGTGATTGACATCATGAGCATCGATCTACGCAACTGGGATACGATGACATGCATCAACCAAGTCAGCGAGTCTGACCACCCGATCCCGTTAGTCGCCTCTTACGACAAGCATAGTCGCCTTTTACAGCAAGCATGGGTTGCTGAAGACCTATTCTGCCCCGGATCTTCACGGGTCGATTTCGCCGTTAAACGATAAAGAAACAAACACCAATAAAAAGGCCTGAAAGCAGACAATCCAGTGACTGTTAATTTGAACAACGACCCCTGCTATCGAGATCCGTTCACTCGCCATCAACCAATTATATCACCGAGCCTGACCACCCGATCAATTTAGCCGTCTCTAACGACCAGCATAGTATAGTCAGGCTCTGTTAGTCTGCTTCACAGGACGTTGTTCATACTATCAATCACTGGATTGTCTGATGTTTACAGACAGATAAACTATTGGTGAGTGACGGGAGGTGAAATTGGGTTTAACGTCGCGTCCATGATTATTGCACATATATAGCGACGTGCATGCACGCGTGTGTGTGTGTGTGTGTGTGTGTGGCTGCTTGTACTAGTCCGACTGATCCCGATTTTATAGTGCTAGCTCACTGAGATACCATGCCGCAGTTTAACATGATGCCCCACTCAGACACAGTATACTGACTCTTTCTCAGTGTGATAACACTTTTTAGTGGGTTAGATCGCTGACTTTGTGGGCTGGGGATTTCATGTCTCACTCTGGGAGTTTGGGTTCGAATCCCGAATGGGATTCAACCCCCAAAAGTACGAGTTTTAGTACTTAACTCAAAATGTGTTATCCCAAATATAACATTCGTTACATCTGCGTCTACTTTCTTAATGGCATTGTGTGTTCATAGCTTTCGGCCATTGGAGCGCTGCCACTTTACACGTGTCAGAGGGGTACACCAAGTATGTGATCTAGACTACCAGTTGCCGGATTTTCATTGTTGTGGCAGCCTCGGTGGCTGAGTGGGTTAGATCGCTGACTTTGTGTGCTGGCGATTAGGTGCCTCTGGCAGTGTGGGTTCGAACCCCGGACGGGACTCAACCAAGAGACAAGTGCGAGAATATGTACTTCACAGACTCCCCACCCCCCCTCTCGCTCGAAAAAAACCCTTTTGGTCCCCAACTACTTAAACACACACAATCTAAACGATTTAAAACTAAATAAGCACCAAATAACTGTTTATACCCAAACTCAAAACCCCCTCAAAAGACATAACCCTCTCCACTGAACTAAATACCGGCAAACCCACGACACAAGCACACATCCACGAAAAAGTGAGTGAGTGAGTGAGTGAGTTTGATTTTACGCCGCTTTTAGCAATATTCCAGCAATATCATGGCGGGGGACACCAGAAATGGGCTTCACACATTGTACCCATGTCGGGAATCGAACCCGGGTCTTCGGCGTGACGAGCGAACGCTTTAACCACTAGGCTACCCGACCGCCCCTCCACGAAAAAGGGCCATCAGTGGTGTCACATACACAGACGGGTCCTTTCATCCGGACACAAAACCAACTATCAGAAATCAAACAGCAAATTTAAAAACTTGCTGCAAAAATACACTAAAAAAAGTAAAAATCTATTACAGAACCACGAGAATTGACAGGGCACACTAAACAGGACACACTAAATTAAACTCAAACCTCTCCTCCCAAACACGTATTACTACATTACACACATTGCCAACAACACAGAACAACACTCAAAACTAAACTACAATCAGTTGACAGTACCAACTCTTCTAAACCCACTAAACAGCTTACAAACCCATAAGGCGCTAGGCATATACCATATAAAAACAGGTCAACTCGGGCGCATCTAAAATAATCAATCAAACAATCTACGAATAAAACAGAAATCCTAAAACTATAAACACTCACCACCCCCCCCCCCCCCCCCCCCCCGCACACACACACTCACACGCAACACACACACCCCCCCACCCCCACCCCCCACCCCCCCGCACACACACACACACATACACACATACTCACCCTGAGGTATGCTATATATTACCAAATTCAACAATTTCTACGGAAGATAACTAAGCGTCCCTAGAGCCCCCACCTCCCACCGGCCACACCCCACACCCCACCCCCGGTTGCCTTCGTTTGGAAAATATCCCTTTCGACAACCGTGTCGGAAATCCCAAGTCGGGTGGGTGGGTAGGTGGGTAGGTAGGTAGGTCAGACTTCTCTCCATAACCGATGAGAAAGCTTGTGATAACTGTTACTCCTGACATATGTCTTTGAATGGCACGCCTGAATACAAGGGGCGAACCGTTATACAGCAATAATCGGGGTACCATTTGCTGCGTTCTAGAATCAAAGTATCGCTGTGTATACAGCACATCATGTCAATGTGTTAAGACGATGTGTCATTCCGTGATCAGTACGATGTCTAGTTTAAGTATATACACTTCAAAATATATAGGGGGCGCGGGTGGCCCAGTCGTCTAAAGCGCCGCGATTCGCTGTGCAGAGTTGCGTCCCTTGGGCACGCCAGAAACCTATGATTGTGGGTTCCAATCCCGGTTCGCCCTGATTATGTTTCTAGGTTTGTCAGCACCATACCCGTGCTCGTGGGTTTCACCGAAGTGGTAAACGTCGGAGACCTGCATCACTTCGGGATTTCCTCCTTCATTAAGCTGACACGCGGCGATATAACTGGAATATTGTTAAATGCGGCGTTAAACCCAACTCACTCACTCACTCAAAATAGATAGATGTTAACAGTGAACACGATCGAGAGATAACTAAACATATAATTCATTCGTTACATATAATAGTTACTTATAAGTTGATATTATTAAACAGTTTTCCATAAGATGAAAGAAATATTGATGCAGAAACAGACTCGCAATAAACACTATATAAGGCGCCATTCTTAACTATTTATTCCTTATTTTATGATATTAGTAATCCATTTATTGAATCCAAAGAATGAATTTATATCACAAATTTGATTTATATCAAGTTATATTGATTGATGTCGCAAAATAGATTTTTCGATATCAGTAGAATTTCAATACATCACATTATGTAGTTTAGCATATATATAAACAATCGAATTTGTGATATTTGAAAAATCAAAACTATGCTAGTTTTTGTTATGACAAATTGTGAGAATTACATTCGATAGAGTGTTTTGTTAATGGGTTCCATCATATCGGTAGATATCTATTTATTTGCACATCTCTTACTCTACTGGGTGAGTGTTTGTTGTTTCAGGGTATCCTCGCTGTAATGAAGCAATAATGACTGCATGCATTGTTCATGGTGGTATTATATCTTTGGCCTGTGTCTTCATGACGTTAGGCCCATTTTTCAATAGTTCGTGTCGTTAGGTAGACTATGGTAACATTTACATATATAGTTATATTCATTAAGATGATGTCTCTTCATGTATGTAATGGCGAACTTGTTCTGCCATCTATTTTGGGGCATGTGGGACCCAAGCTTTACAATTAGGATTACAAACGTATCATTGTATTTTTATGCGATTTGGATATACTTATTTACCATCTTTCTTACTATATGTTTTACATGGGACGTTTTATGTTTTCAGGGCGGTCGGGTAGCCTAGTGGTTAAAGCGTTCGCTCGTCACGCCGAAGACCCGGGTTCGATTCCCGACATGGGTACTATGAGTGAAGCCCATTTCTGGTGTCCCCCGCCGTGATATTGCTGGAATATTGCTAAAAGCGGCGTAAAACCATACTCACTCACTCACTTATCGTTTCATGGTCACCGAGAATTACAATTGATGCTTGTCATCTCAACACAATTGACAGATACTCTAAAACTCATGATCGTAAACTATTAACGTACGGTGAAAAGAATAGAAATTGTAAATGACATTATGCCAAGGCTCGAGTTGATCTAACAGGCCTGTGAAAACGGCACTACTTTATTCATTTGAACTGGCGCAGTAAAAGATAAAGTTTTACCTCTCCGTTAAAGATATTTAAAACTTTTACCTTTCTTGGTAGCCATTATGCAACGGCCATCTTATACACAACCCCGCGCTAGCGTCTACGAGTCTAGAGCTCCTCCTGCGGTACGGTAATTAGTAGAACCCGCTCCCACAAATGTATCCTACATGATATAACATAAATGTTTATGTTTTTCATAGTTCATTGTGTCTCATGGGCTTTTCATGGCCTGATGTATGTTTTTTATGCCAGTTGTTATATGTCTAATGTATACACATACAACATGTGACATAAATAAAACATTTTCTTCCTTTCTGCTATAACCTACTCTCATTATGTAAATCCCCCCCCCCCCCCGGATTTTTTTTATAGAAAACAGTTTTATTTGAATCATGAAAATACAAGTTGGGGACAAGTGATACTGGTACAAATATTTGCCCCCCCCCCCCCCGTTAACTACGGCCTTGGTCCAATAAAACCACTTCTCCGACATCTACGGAAGTCGTACTACATGTGTCAAATCGCACCAACTGCTCAATGACAATACCATTT